ACTTCATAGTCCAGACTTCAAGGCGGAGGACAGGCAGATGGTGGGCGCCCTCTCTTTAAAGACTTTCTGGAGTTTTGCACACAAGACTTCATCATACGTCTCAATGGGCGATACTTACCAACACGCCCACATTCAACTGCCAGTGAGGCTGCTGGCAATGTGCCCAGGTAAAAATTTAGGTATCTACTACTGAGGAGGAAGAAAGAACACCCCTAGCTGCAGCCACTTTAATGAAAGCACAAGGTGAGGACGCTTATCCAGGTGACTGCGGGCTTGCAGCCTGAGCCTAGCTCTCAGACCAAAAGTGACGGGGGTTCAAGATGTGGAAACATTGAGGAAGGGAATCCTTGGAAATGAGAGATTTTGCTCGCCCTGGGAAGAGTGAGAAACTAAAGCAAGTGATCCGCTGCGACTCTAGCCTGAGTTAAACGGAACAAGGAAGGGAAAATGAAGTCCAGTTCTTCATTCAGAACCCAGCGGTTTTGCAGGCAAAGTCAGTTTCCAAGAGGCCCTTGAGAGATTTGAGGTGAATGAGGGAATTTTTACCAAGGGAGCCATAGGAAATTTTAAAAGGACAAGTTTGGGTCCTGGAAAGCCAGCATGTCCTGAGATTAGGGGGACACTCAGCAGGAGCCCAGACCAAGCTGAGCCATTTCCACAAACCAAGATGTACACACAGCACCGGGTGGATGAGGTCCCCTGCCCCAATCCCAGAGATGCACTTGGATTTTATGATGGAGGTAAAAGGAAAAATAGAAGTCTCTAGGGCCAGGTTTCCTTTATTTTTGATTAGAACAAATTCTTCTTTTTAAGTTCTATTTAGTAGATTTCTAAAATACAAAAGTGAAGCCTGCTCTTTGTGATGAATGAGTCCAAAGGTGCAGGAAGAAAACCATGGATTATCCCTGCACCTCACCGTGTATGAGCCTCTGAGGTGTACAATCAGCTGCTTCGCATGCAAACACCTCCCCCTCACTCTCCTCACATGTACACAAGCATATTCAAATATATATGCAGGTAGATGGGACTGTTGTCTTCTGGAGTTTCTTGGGGGTATACAGTGTTTTACAAAAACAGAATCTGATTATAAATATTGTCTTGAAACCTGCTCTAAAAAATATATCTTGAAGTCTCACCCAAATGAATGAATATAAAGCGGATTCATCCTTTCTAATGTGTAATGTTCCATAATATATTTACCCTTTAATTTATTACTGGCAGACAGTCAGGAACTCATTCCAGAGTTAACTATATTAGGACATCTCTTTTCTACAAAGGAGGGCTGCAGATAAACTCCAAGTACTAAGTTAGCATGCAAACCTGAGAAACATTAAAATTCTCCATGTTTCCCTTAGTTTGGGAGTCATAAGAGGATCCAGTATTCCACTGAGAATCTGAGAAGAGAAAAACACAGGTTAGTACACAAGTAATTGCGTTTTTTGCCTTTACTTTTAGTGACAAAAGCCACAATTACTTTTGCACCAACATACACTATCAAGCCATCAAAGGATGTGAAAGTATTAATTATATGACAGGAAACGATTTTAAAATTTTCAACTATGAGAACACCATGCTTATACAGCCTGCAGAACCGTGAGCCGACTAAACCTCTTTTCTTTATCGTTATCCAGTCTCCGGTGTTCCTGTGTAGCAATGCAAGCATGGCGTAACATCACAAAGTTCGCATGTTAAGCCTGAGTCTTATTACTCGCCCTTCACCCTCCACTCACCGGTAGGTTTTGGCTACACGAAATGTTTTTCTCTTAGTTTCTCTGCACCTGGCACCCCGCCTCTGCTTAGTTGTACAATCCTCACAACCCCTCCAGGTTACCTTGACCTACTGCTGTTCAGCTAAAATGTCACATCCATGAGGGTCTTCTTTATCCTCCTGCATGGATAGGTGACTTAGAGATCCTCTTTCATTTATCACATTTGGGATTCCTTAACACACATGATCTTCCAGAGGCACGACAGCCCTGTGGTTTAAGAGCTTGGGTTCTAGAGACAGCCAGACTGGGCTTGGGTCTTCCCTCTTCCCTCTCTTAGCTGTCATATCTTAGATAACTGATCTCACCTCTTTTCAGTCGCAGTTTTCCTATCTGTACATTGGAGATGATGGCAATATTAGCCCACAGATAGGGCGATTACATAAAAAGCTGTTGTTACACACTTGGCACAGTGCCTAGCATATACACCGGGTACATTCTATATTGTTAATACGGGCAGTGGTTTGAATCACTGACCATTGTGCCCTTGGTTCCTTCCAGAATACTTGCCAAGTTATAAATATTTGTTGAATAAATGAATAAATGAATTATTGTGTATTAAATAATTAAAGTGGCTCTGATTTTAAAATACCACGAGGGGATATCTTTTTGTTATTTGAACTCTCAATGCCCAGCTGTTTTAATATAGGTTTTATTCTTATTTAGGTATGGCAAGACCAACAGCTCAAAACACGACTGCCATTGAAAAGATGGTTTATTACCCACAGTTCCTAAGAGGAAGGGGCACACCATGGCATGGGGGCAAAGGGAGGACGGGGGAGCACTGGGGTCGGTCAGCCAGCAGAGGAAAGGTGAAAAAATGGGCAAAAACCTTTATGATGGTTTCCATGAGCAGGAACAGGTGAGGCAGGGTAAGCAGGCTTAGGATTGGCTCGTTTAAATGATTTCAGTGGTGTGGTAGTATAACATGAGAGAATGTCATTAATTTAGGAGTAATAACTGCTCCATGTGGGGCACAGGGGAGTAAGGAGAATGAATTCTAAACGTGTGATGAAAGGTGTAACTATAGACTCTACTGTAGTACATTTCAGGATCTAGAAGTTTTATAAAAATGGTGTCTGGAAGATGTTGCTAATGTATTTTACTTCAACATAGGGAACAAACGTTTTAAGTATATTAATAAACCTGTATGGTTAGTTGTTTTTTTTTTTTAACAATTTTTAAAAATAAACTTAAAAAAATAATTTCAGTGGGCTCTGGGGTACAGGGGCTGTTCCTGGTTGTCTGGTACCTGGCCCTAGGATAATGAGAGAAGGAAAATAATGGCCCAGAGTGTGAGAGGGCAATGAAGGAGGTGGCAGGAGTGGATCGGGATTGGTGGCTTTGCATTTGAAAGTTGAGCTCTCAGGTGAGTTGTTTTTTCCCTTCTAGGAATTGGCTACCTTGGGAGGGGCAGCACCTTCTGGATCAGCAAGGCCCCAGAAGCCAAAGCATCCGAACCCAGAAAATAAAGGACATGGTTGATACGCTAGCACAAAGTCATGCTCACCGAGTAGCGATGTTCGGGGCATCGATGCGGAGAAGATGGCCTGAACGGTGAGCTGCAGCGCTGAGCAGGAAAGACAAGGTCACTGCTCTCGTGGAGCGGGGCCAATGGAGCACGTGAACTTCTTGGGTTTCTTTCACTGTAGGTTGAATCTCTGCTATTTTCACAAGAACATTTTTTTTTTTTTGGAGTTATGTGTGAAAGGGAGGTGGCAGAGGGATCAGTTCCCTGTGGGTCCTACGGCTCATGTGCCATTAAAAAGAGTCCTCTGTGCCCTCGGCCCCCATCACAGGGCAGGCAATGAGGACCTTTGTCCCCTATGAGATGAGAGGACCCTGTGTGTGCTGGGCACTTTGTGAAGGGCTTTCACATGCCTGACTTCCTGCGTCCCTCACAATGCCCTCTGAGGTGGGTATCATGTGTGTTCTGGCTCCTCAGATGTAGAATCGTAGACTCCAGGAGATGAATAGCTTGCCTGAGTTTACCCAAATTCCAACTAGTGGGCCAGGTGGAATTCGAACCCCACTTGTCTTAGAGCTTGTCAAAGCTACGTGCAGTGTGTTTCCTGGTGTGCATCCAAGTCCATCTTGGCTCTGATAAATTAAAGAACTTAGTGAGTTTTGCACTTTTTGATCTCTGCCTGCCCTGCTCCCCCAACAGTGGCAGAGCATTTTTGCATCTTTCACATTTGAGAGCATTCTGCTGCCACTTTGGAGGGAGTGGAGAGGGGAGGAAAACCTATGAGGAGTTTTCAATGGGCATCCTCACCCCGGTTTTCTACCCCCGCACTGCCTGCAGCCAGCACTGGTCAACAGAAAGGGCTCAGTTCTTCTCCTCGACAATGCCCGACTACACGTCACACAACCCATGCTTCCGAAGTTGAATGAATTGGGCTATGAAGTTTTGCCTCATCCACCACAAATTTAGGAAGAAAAAGAAATGTAGACTTGATACTCACCAAAGCCTCAATAGCACCAAGATTTTAGGTGGGAGGTGGCAGTCCCCGGCAGGTAACATCAGTGAAGCTGCCCAGCCATGCTGCATCCATGCGTGCAGTCCAACCCTACCTTCCTTTCCCACAGTGGCCAGCAAGTCCAGAAATCAGCTCTAGAGTGAGCCGTAAGTGAGGATGTTCATGGTTTTTGTTCTGGCTGTTGTTTTCTGCATTTCCAGATTTTTAGAGAAGTTACTCAGAAGAGAGAAGGCACGTGACAATTCGAACTTGTCCTTTATGCCTTTGGCTGTGTTTTTGCAGAGCTGTGTCTATATAGATGAAGGGGTCAGTAAGTAGAGAAATTGGAGAGGTTCTAAACACGTCCTGTCCTTTCGGATCCTAGCAGGCTTATTCTCACAGGCAGAACTATCCCAGTTGTAACCCTATGTCAGCAGATCTGCTGGCTGAGAGCACAGATGGATATTCAGACTGTTGGCAGGTCTCTTAGTCCACGTCCCTGCCTGGAAACCTGAAAAACGTACCACAGAACTGTAGCTTGTAAGCATGATATTCTAGCTTGTCAGGAAAGGTTTTAATAAGAAATGGCAGGCGCTCGTTGCGCAGTAGTGCTAGCGGCTTCGCGTTTCGGTACTCGGACCCGGCAGCCGCTTTTGGTGCTAAGCGGCTAGGAAGCCTCTCTCGGCGAGCTCGTTGGAGCTTGAACCCATTGTCACTCCTCCGACTTACCGGCAAAAAAACAAACAAACAAAAAACAAACAAACAAACAAAAAAAATGGTTGAAGCAGATCGCCCAGGAAAGCGCTTCATTGGTGGGCTTAATACGGAAACAAATGAGAAAGCTCTTGAAGCAGTATTTGGCAAAAATGGACGAATAGTGGAAGTACTCTTGATGAAAGACCGTGAAACCAACACATCAAGAGGATCTGCTTTTGTCACCTTTGAAAGCCCAGCAGACGCTAAGGATGCAGCCAGAGACATGAATGGAAAGTCATTAGACGGAAAAGCCGTCAAAGTGGAACAAGCCACCCAACCATCATTTGAAAGTGGTAGACGTGGGCCGCCTCCACCTCCAAGAAGTAGAGGCCCTCCAAGAGGCCTTCGAGGCGGAAGAGGGGGAAGTGGAGGGACCAGGGGACCTCCCTCACGGGGAGGACACGTGGATGACGGTGGCTATTCCATGAATTTGAACATGAGTTCTTCCAGGGGACCACTCCCAGTAAAAAGAGGACCACCACCAAGAAGTGGGGGTCCTCCTCCTAAGAGATCTGCACCTTCAGGACCAGCTCGCAGCAGCAGTGGAATGGGAGGAAGAGCTCCTGTATCACGTGGAAGAGGTAGTTACGGAGGTCCACCTCGAAGAGAACCGCTGCCTTCTCGTAGAGATGTTTATTTGTCCCCAAGAGACGATGGGTATTCTACTAAAGACAGCTATTCCAGCAGAGATTACCCAAGTTCTCGTGATACAAGAGGTTATGCGCCACCACCACGAGGTTATACTTACCGTGACTATGGTCATTCCAGTTCACGTGATGACTATCCATCAAGAGGCTATAGCGACAGAGATGGATATGGTCGTGATCGTGACTATTCAGATCATCCAAGTGGAGGTTCCTACAGAGACTCATATGAGAGTTAGGGTAACTCACGTAGTGCTCCACCTACACGAGGGCCCCCGCCATCTTATGGTGGAAGCAGTCGCTATGATGATTACAGCAGCTCACGTGACGGATATGGTGGAAGTCGAGACAGTTACTCAAGCAGCCGAAGTGATCTCTACTCAAGTGGTGGTGATCGGGTTGGCAGACAGGACAGAGGGCTTCCCCCTTCTATGGAAAGGGGGTACCCTCCTCCACGTGATTCCTACAGCAGTTCAAGCCGCGGAGCACCAAGAGGTGGTGGCCGTGGAGGAAGCCGATCTGATAGAGGGGGAGGAAGAAGCAGATACTAGGAACAAACAAAACTTTGGACCAAAATCCCAGTTCAAAGAAACAAACAAAAAGTGGAAACTATTCTGTCATAACTACCCAAGGACTACTAAAAAGAAAAATTGTGTTACCTTTTTTAAATTCCCTGTTAAGTTCCCCTCCATAATTTTTATGTTCTTGTGAGGAAAAAAGTAAAACATGTTTAATATGATTTGATTTTATGACATTGCTTTTCAACAATCAGATGTTAAATGTGTTAAGACTTGTTGTACTAGTGTTGTAACTTTCCAAGTTAAAGTGTCCCTAAAGGCCACTTCCTATATGATTTTTCCCAGTAAGTGAGGCAAGCAATTCTAAGATCTTCCACAAAACATCTAGCCATCTAAAATGGAGAGATGAATCATTCTGCCTATACAAACAAACTAGCTGTTAGAGGGTGGTTGGGGTATGCTACTCATAAGATTTCAGGGTGTCTTCCAACTAAAACCTCCATGATCTCAGTATGAAAAACCTGAGATCAGATGCCTATGTAAGGAAATAATCACCCAGTAAACCCAAAAATGCAAATGGATAATGCTGGCCGTTTTGCCTTTCTGACATTTCCTTGGGAATTTGCAAGAACCTCCCCTTCCCCCTCCCCCAATAAAACCATTTAAGTGTGTGTTAAACAACTACAAAATACTAAATAAAAAGTTTGGCCAAAACCAACCAACCATGAAGCTGCAAAAAAAAAAAAAAAAAAAAAAAAAGAAATGGCAGGCAATTGAAGGTCAAATTCCTTTGCCTGAGGAACTAGAAAATCTGTTTCATGAAGGAAGCGTTCTGCAGGCCTGTCCCTGCAGCGTGGAAGCTGCCTGAGGCCTGTGGTTCCCCGGTGGCTCTTCATGCGAAGGGGCCTTTTAGGAGATTGGTTTGCTCACTGCACGCACACTGTTCACTCCCTGCTTGCTTGCAGGTTTTTAGCCTCAGAAGCTCTAGAGTGTGTCTTGGAAATCTACATTCTTAACAAGTGAAAAACGCTCAGGCAGATGGCTCAGGAAATGCCACAGGCATGGCATAATTAGGTCAGAGCAGGGCACTGTCCTTACAGATATGCTGGGGACATCATATTAACTATATTTTCTTTTTCTCTTTCTCTCTCTCTTTTTTTTTTTTTTTTTTTTTTTTTTTTTGGCATTTGGGGCATCACTGACCGTGGGGAGAGGCTGCCCCTCTCAGGGCTAACTAATTCTTAGCCATAGCGAACAATTTGCCTACACACTTGTCTTGGAGATACAAATAAACCAATTCTGATTTATGTGCCCACCCCTCTCCTGTGAGCAGGTTTCTGCAGCCTGGGACCCTGGCCCTCTGCTCTGAAGTATCCCGGAGCCAGGCACCAGACAACCAGGGGATATTCCTAAACCCCAGAGCCTGTTGACATTATAGAAACAATGCGATCCAAACCTGTTCAGCTGCTAGAAAACCTGAATGTAAACCTGTCCTGCTTCATCCATTCCTGCCCTAGAAAATCACAATAAAGGCTTTTCCCAGGCTCCGCTCTGGCTCCTGCTGCCTCCTGACACATGGGTGCTGTCCCGTGGCCAGCATGGAGAGGTGAGCCCCCTCCTCCTGGAAATTTTGAGTAACAAAATATCTTTTTGTTTTTTAAATGTTCTTTTCTTTCTTTCTTTCTTTCTTTTTTGAGACGGAGTTTCGCTGTTGTTACCCAGGCTGGAGTGCAATGGCGTGATCTCGGCTCACTGCAACCTCCGCCTCCTGGGTTCAGGCAATTCTCCTACCTCAGCCTCCTGAGTAGCTGGGACTACAGGCATGCACCACCATGCCCAGCTAAATTTTTGTATTTTTAGTATAGACAGGGTTTCACCTTGTTGACCAGGATGGTCTCGATCTCTTGACCTTGTGATCCACCCGCCTTGGCCTCCCAAGTGCTGGGATTATAGGCGTGAGCCACCACACCTGGCCTTAAATTTTATTTTCAATTGACAAATAATAATTGTATATCTTTGTGGGATACAATGTGACGTTCTATGGATTCATTGTGGAATTATTAAATTAAATCAAGCTTTTTAATGGCAATCGTCTTGTATCTTTGGCGTTGCCATAGCAAGATAATAATACAGTTTGCATTTTAGAACAGGCATATGGGCAAGCTTACATCCCTCAGGTGGAGACAATAACTGGTCTCTAAAGACCGTTTGTTAATAGTGATTAATTTAGGAAGCTTCCGTAAGTCATCTTGTCAATATTTTTACCATTGAATTAGGTAAACATGTAGAAAGTATATAAAAATGTGGACGAAAAGATTTTGAATAACTTACATGTTAGATGACAAAATCAAGGTTTTTTTTGTTTTTGAGACAGTCTCACTCTGTTGTTCAGGATGGAGGACAGGGGTGTGATCTCAACTCACTGCAACCTTTCCCTCCCGGGTTCAAGTGATTCTCCTGCCTCAGCCTCCCAGGTAGCTGAGACTACAGGCCTGCGGCACCAGGCCTGGCTAACTTTTTATATTGTTTTAGTAGAGATGGGGTTTCGCCATATCGGCCAGGCTGGTCTTGAACTCCTAACCTCATGATCCTCCCACCTTGGCCTCCCAAAGTGCTGGGATTACAGGCACGAGTCACCATGCCCAGCTGACAGGGTCAAGTTTTAAAAATATCTTGACACATTACGTTTATCACTAATACAAATGAGAGAGAGTTTAACAGAATAACTGTAGCAAACTCTGTTAAGAAATCAATTGCTTAATAGTAACTTTAACACAGTTCACATAAGAAAGATGCAGAGGTGTAATCCCAGCACTTTGGGAGGCCGAGGCGGGTGGATCACGAGGTCAGGAGATCGAGACCATGGTGAAACCTGTCTCTACTAAAAAATACAAAAAATTAGCTGGGCATGGTGGCGCGTGCCTGTAATCCCAGCTACTCAGGAGGCTGAGGCAGGAGAATTGCCTGAACCCAGGAGGCGGAGGTTGCGGTGAGCCGAGATGGCGCCATTGCACTCCAGCCTGGGTAACAAAAGCGAAACTCCATCTCAAAAAAAAAAAAAAAAAAAAAAAAAAAAAAAAAAAAGGGAAGAAAGAAAGATGCAAAGGTTGTGGGATGTAAACGGTTTCTCTGAAAAGTACAACACATGACTGGGCACGGTGGCTCACGCCTGGAATCCCAGCACTTTGGGATGCTGAGGTAGGCAGCTCACTTGAGGTCAGGAGTTTGAGACCAGCCTAGCCAACATGGTGAAACCCCTTCTCCACAAAAAATACAAAAATTAGCCTGGAGTGGTGGTGCATACCTGTAATCCCAGCTACTCAAGAGGCTGAGGCAAGAGAATCAGTTGAACCCAGGAGGTAGAGGTTGCATGAGCCAAGATGGTATCACTGCACTCCAGCCTGAGTGACAGCCAGACTGTATCTCAAAAAAAAAAAAAAAAAAAAAAAGCAACATAGCAGTGGGCTTCATTATGACCAGTGTTACTGTCCAGGTTAAGGGATCTGCTGGTTGGTTCCATGTTGTACATTTACTACGACATCGAAAACGCTGGATCCATTGTAATCATTACTTAATTTTTTTCTTTTTCAAAATTTTATTATTTTTTTAAGAGATGGGATCTCACTCTGTTGCCCTGGCTGAAGTGCAACAGCACGATCATAGCTCGCTGCAGCCTGGAACTCCTGGACTCAAGTGATCCTCTTGCCGTGTGCTGGGATCCTCCCGAAGTGCTGGGATTACTGGCGTTAGCCTCTGTACCCAGCCTGATTATTATTATTAGAGAGCTCCTTATGAATTGAAATGTGTCCATAAAACGATGACCAGAATTGTAATGGGGTAAAAGCCAGCGATAGAAATGGAAACCTCCAAAATTCGAAGAGTTATATGTGTAAAGGGTTGGATTTATTTTGTGTAGTTACCAGACACAGAACTAAGGCCCACTGAGAAATTCATGGAGAAGTAGATTTTACCTTCATATAAGAAAGAACTTTGTAATAATTAGTATTGTCAAAAATAAAATGAGCTTTCTAGAATCATAGAGAAGAGTCAAACTGAGAGTAAATAACCACAGTTGGAGATGCAATTTCTGCATTCAGTGGTTGGTTAGACTTCTTTACTTCAAGGGTACATTCTAACTCTAAAATTCAAAGCAAACTGATTTTTTTTTTAATCCCTTCGAACCCAAATTTTTTTTTTGCGTATGAGATAGTATATACCTCATCGGGGTTCACTAGCACATTGCTCTTCTTTTTATTCTAAAAATATAACAAAATGTAAATGAATATATTATTTTTCTCCAATCACATTGACAGTATTTCTTTGGGAGAAAAAATTATATATCTGCAGGATAGCACAGGATAAATCTATTTTTTACCCTGAAGCTAGTGTTAAAGACAAAATGGTTAGTTTCTTCCTACTTATTCTCCTCCCCGGGACACGTGCTTGGCCCGAGTGGTCAGTTTTATCTCATCAGCTAACTGCACATTCTGCAAATGTGACCGGTGAGATTAGGGATTGCAGAGCATGAGGTGAAATGAGGTGTCTTCTCATTTTATTGCTAACTTTACTGTTTGAAGATCTCGAAGCTGAACCTCAAAATCTGGTAAGTTTCTCATTTGTTTTCAACAAACTGTGGAAAACTTAAACTGGCTTTATCAGTTTCCTAGCTGGGAAAATTGTAAATCTTTTTTCTTCAGATTTTTGGCTTGATGGACTCCCTGTTAAATTAAAAATGAGAAAACAAAGAGACAAATGAAACAGATTCCCAAATTCACCTGGTTATGAGGTGTCATTTGAAATAGAATTTGAAAGAGGCCATCACTGATTAGATTTTAAATCTATCACTTTCCCCGAACTCCATTGTTAACAAATTCCATGTGAGAGTCTCTAAGTTTGGACATTGGAAATGAGATTAATGTCACAATAATGGGCAACGATCCCTGTTCATAAATTTTGTGAGCAAAATTGGAGAGGCCTAGAATTTTTTATTTTGGTCTTACTCTGGTTTTACAACCCAGGGAATGAAATAGCCTAAACTTATTTGGTCTGATATTGCTTCCTCATTAATATAGTTAATTAGATACTAAAATTAATTTAAATACCTGGTGAATACTTCTTGCCACCTGAATTCCTCATGGTCTATTATAATGGATTATTTTGTTTATTCGTAGGAACTCCATTGGAGTGTCCTCTCTGGATGGACCCAGGATAATTTCTCTAGGTTATATTGAAACCTTCTACA